AATTTTCATCAATAAGAATTCCTAGAATTTTATTGAATCATTTTTACTAATTAGTGCATCATTTAAAATCAAATCAGGTAACTTTAAAGGAAGTTTTTCATCTTGTGATTTTTTATGAAATAAAGTATATTTTGATTTATCTACATTGGAGGGAAAGTTTATTTGCCTTAAACCATTCATCTACATTCATTAGTTCAGAGTTCATGTCAGAATACAGTTGATTAATGTCACAGTTTGAAAGGAAGAGATTTGTGTCGTCAGCAAACATTATTGAGTTAAGCTTAGCTGATGCATTATAAAATCATTTACATAAATCAAGAAAAGCAATGGACCAAGAATCGACCCTTGTGGAACTCCACACAAAATATTAAGTTGACCTGATTCCTCACTAATAACATATTATTTTCTCTCAGTGAGGTAACTTTTTAACCAACCATAGGTTTTATTTATCTCTCTGTAGTGTTTTATTTTTTCCAAAAGAATTAGGTGATCAACCGTATCAAATGCTTTTGATAGGTCAATAAATAATCCTAGAGTGAAGCTATTATTTTCAAATCCTTTAGTAATTTGGTCTACTATTTCAATTATTGCGTGTTCTGTTGAATGTTTTTTTTCCGAAAACCAAACTGCTTTGTGTAAAATAAATGATTTTCATTAAAATGGTTATAGATTCTATTATAAATTACACGTTCAAATATTTTTGAAAATACAGAAAGTACTGATACTGGTCTATAATTAGAGATTTCAGATTGATCATTATTTTTGTAAATTGGACATACTTTTGACAACTTTAATGCTTCAGGAAAAATTCCTTCTTTTATTGAAAGTTTTATAATATGGAACAAAGGTTTTGAGATTTTTTTTTGTTTTAAATAACTATATTACTAGAAAAATCATCGAAACCAGGTGATTTGTTTTTTTTAAAAAAAGAAAAAGCAATTTCATACTCTTCATGAGAAAATTCGCGATCTTGCAGTATCGCGCCATTTAAAGATTTAAGATATTTTTGAAAAGAATTTGGTTTAGTTATTTGCTTTTTTAGCAAGGTTAGGGCCAATGTTTGTAAAATATTTATTTAACTCATTCGAGATTTGTAATGGACAATAGATATCAGTTTTATTGATATTTATTCTTTGAGGTAGTATAGCCGTATTTGTTTTCTTTCTTCCATTTACATCGTTAATTAAATCCCATGTTTTTTCACATCGAGTTTGTTTTTTGTAATTTCTTTACTATAATATATTTTTTTAACTTTCTTGAGAAGATTTTCGTAAAAGCGTTTATATTTTTTGTAACTTTTTTCATTAACTTCAGTTCTGTTTTTTAAAAATTTATTGTAAAGTTTTTGTTTATTTCTTGAACATTTTATAAGAGTTTTATCCATCCAAGGATTCAATATTGTTTTTTTTTTAGTTATTTTGAATTCATACGGGCACGTTTCGTTATAAATGTCAAGAAATGTGTTTAAGAAAATATTAAATGCTTTATTTGTATTATCACAATTAAAAACTTGATTCCACGTCTCTTGCTTTAGTTTATCGGAAAGATTATTCTTATTAACTTCTGATAGTTCGCGTTTTTTTAGAGTTATAACTTTGGGATCCCCGTTGGATGGGGCTTTGAAAAGATTTATTTTAACGTATATTGGGAAGTGATCATTAATATCAGTTTTAAAAATACCAGTCTCAAATGACGTTTCTATATAATTGTTAATAAAGATATTATCGATTGCAGTTGCCGAACTTTTAGTTACCCTAGTTGGTTTATTTATAACTGGTAAGATATTAAATTTAAAAAGAATGCCAAAAAAAGATTTTGTTTTTGGATTATTTTTATATGTCAGAGCGTTCAAACTTATGTCGCTGGCAATATACAAATTTTTTCTTCTTTATTTATTTTTGAGACTGTATTTTTTATGAATTCTTCAAACAATTTGATTTTTCGACTCGGTGGACGATATACGCACCCAACTTAAATATTTTTATCTTTGTCGTTTATTATTTCAATAAATAGTTTTTCATAATTAAGATTTGACGAGCATAGTTTATTTTTTATTTTAAATGAATATTTGTTTAAAACATAAACACCAACTCCTCCTCCGTTTTTATTACTTTCTCGCGGTTAACCAATTAATTTATAATTAGGCAATTCGTAAATAGAATTAGAATCAAGTGTATTGTCATGCCAGAGATATGACGTCAAACGTGTAATTTATAATATTTAAGAACTCTTTAAACTTGTCAAAGTTTTGGTTTATGCCCTAAATATTTATTTGTAATATAGAAAATTAATTTCTTATTTTTTTTCCCTTAAATTCATAAGGATCAAAATACGGTGTTTTCATGAAATTCCTTTGAGTTTCTTGAAAAATATTTGTGATATTTTTTAAATTGTCTTCAAAAGGGTCAAAAATTATATTTTCAAAACCTTGTTGAAAAATATAATTCGAATCCATTTTTAAGTAAGTATATGAGAATTTACCTATAAATATATTTATAAATTATTTATCCCGAGGTATTACATTTTCTGTGCTTGCATTATAATATAAGTTATTTAAAACTATAATTCTTTGGTAGTATAAGCAAAGTGAGTTAATATGCACATCGCCAAGTACATTTAATTTATACCTCATAAATAAAAACAATTTTTTATTTTATAATTAAAATCTCATTATAATTTTTGTCTTTCGCTTTCTGGCACCCCTAATATCTTGGCACCCGGGACACGTATGCCATTCCCTCTCGGCGGCCCTTTTGTTGGTTTTGAGACATTGGTGTTGTAGAGCATTTAAATTTATTATATTGACCTGCAGTCCTCTTGTTTGGTCCTCTGCGGTCGACCGCTCAACTTGTTTCTCCCCGCAGCGGTCTTGTTTATCGAATTTATATATTGTTATATTCCTGTTTCGGAGTTGTAGAGTTGAGAGAGGGTTGTAACCACAAAAAAAAAAAAAAAAAAAAAAAAAAAAGGCCTCTTTGACTGCAGTGGCCTTTCTCGGCCTTGGGGTGGTAAATAATTAAAAAAAAAATAAAAATAAAACCACCACGTATAAAACCGTTTCTCTCTGAAATATTAAAATACAAATGAGTTTTTAATTATTACTGAAAACCAGTTTAGAACCGTGGTTAATGAAATACTTTAAAATTTTTTTTAAAGTAATTGAGTTTAATCATGGAAGTATGATGAGCACAGATGAAAGTTCAACCGCATTGAAATTCTTCGGGACTATGCTTGTACCCTTTTGTTTCGTAAACAATAAGAAAACGATATCAAGACTGTACTTAAACGCTTAATCTTTATACGTTGACGCAAATAGATACATTTATAATAATTTAAAAATATAGTATTTTGAAGGTTCGCCAATAATATTCAAGAAAAACATAACGTAACGGCAAACAACAACTTTTTTATAAACTTTATATTAAATGAATGAAGTACTACAAGAATGAATGGAGTTATCATATACAGCTAATAAAACTTTAAACTTAAGTTACTTAAAAAACAATTTTTTTGATTTTTTAAAAATTGTTTTAGGTGTCTTTTTTATCAAATGTCGTGTTATGACTTGAAGCAGGAAAAGAAGCTTAAACTAACATATGCTTTTAAAATCAAGTGGTTCTATTTAATTACCGAGTTTTAATAAACCTTTAGTTGAATAATTTCAATTGCTAAAGGTTAAAAATTTGCAACATATCCCTAGAATAATTCTTTTTTTAATGTTTTAATAAAGATCATTTCAGTGAATTTTGTTGTTTTTTTATCTTGTGAAAATTGTTTATTTTTAATTGTCGGTTACAAGCATACTCCCGAGACGACTTGAAATTGCTTTGATGTTTGCGGCTCGATGAACTTCCATCTGTTTTATACTTCCATGGTTTAATCAATTTTCAAAACAAAGAAGCGTTCCAACTATGGAACTTAAAAGAACAAAGAGAAAAATTTAAAACAATGATGAAGGAGAATATTTCTAAAATAGATCTAACCGTCTAGTCGGTCTAGTTATTGGCATTAAAGACAAATGTTTGGAGAGCCAAGACTGGCCTTAATTTAATTTGTAACTGTTTTAATATTAATTTATTTACCTGTAATTTTATTACTGGGTGTTTAATAGAAAATAACAATAATTACTTAGTTTTTTCCTTGCAATTTTTACAGTACTCTCGTGTCCTTAAAAAAAAAAAAAAGGTGGGGTGGGTGAACGTTTATTTTTTTGGAAAATCCACCCCCACACAATTACTTGTTATAAACAATAATTGGAAAAAAAAAAAACAATGAAAATCGGTCTTAAAAATTAAAAAATAATTTCAGTCACTGATAAAAATAAAAACTTTCAGTGTAAACAGGCTTTAAAAACAAGGCTGGAAAAAGTGGGTTTTTTTTAAAAAACTCAATGAAATAGAATTTCTGGGTTTTTTGTTTATACAATTTAAGTTTTGAAAAATATTATTTAATAGATCTGGACTAAATCCCCCTCCCCCATTGTATTAAGGACTCAAGAATTCGTATTCGTATTGCTTCTTTTTAAATATTATGTTTGATAAACTTTGCTAAGATAATTTACATGACCAGAAAATTGCTGAAGTTAATCGTTTTATCATTAAATAGCAGGTGTGAGCAGGTGTAAAAAATCCATTTTTAATGGATTGTAAAAATTGTTAAAAATTAATTTGACTTAATTACAATTTATTATTTTTTGTTATATTTAAATTTATTTTACTTTAAGTTAGAACGAAACTGCCCTAATTTTTATTTTCGACGACACCACTTTTAACTATATTTGGCCAGTAATAATACATCACAAAAAGAACAGATTTTTTCGGTATTTAATTGTCATCGCTCTATGCTACCTGTCTTAATATACAGCAAAATGAATGTTAATGACGCTTAAGATACCGCTTATTTACAACTTAATACATTTATTCAGAAAAATGGCAGTTTTTTTTAGAAGAAAAAAGTGATTAGAAAGAGAAAAAAAAAAAAAAAAAAAAAAAAAAAACGGCTTAATTTGTCTCAACTTGGTTTTATTGCATTTTTTAAAGCTTCTTTCTTTTTCCAATATTCATCAATTAACTTTTTATCAACATTTTTGTTTTTTTCATTTATACTTTTCCAGATCATGTCTAGTTCTTCGATCGATTTTACTTTTTTTATTGTTCTTGAAAAATTCATTGTATCAGCCATTGCTTTTGTTATAGTTTTGCAACCATCTACTAAGCATAAATTTCCAACTCTATTTAAGTCAACTAATTTTGGAAAAAAATTAAAACCTGCAAGTTTTTCTAAGTCTTCCAATTTAACTTGATAATCTAATAGCGTTTTTTCGTCGGATATTGGTTGATTAGGAATGATAAATGCTCCAATTGCTCGTGGTTTATTATTGTTTTCAACTAGTATTACTTTATATAAATGAGTAGGGACAGCCACCTCATTTTTACCAATAACCTAGACAAGAAACTTCGAATTGTTTATACTATTAAATTAGCATTAACAATTTAGACTATAAATGTCAAAAATAGAAAGTGAAAAATAGAAATTAAAATTATACCTTGAAAGTAAACTATAAAAAATGCTGTGATAAGAATATTCTTGATCAAAATAATAAAAATTATAATTAAAACCTGGCACACCTAAATCCATCTGTCAAGTAAATTTCAATAAAAACAACCTAAGTAATAACTTAATACAAAAAAAAGTATATTTACAGTCCTTTTGCCTTCTTTAATTGCTTTATAAAGTACATGGTTTACCTAGAGGTTAATCTTAAAGTTTTGCTTCCTGTTTTCTTGTGCATCAATTTTTTTTGACATTTGTTGTGCTGTCAATCTCTAATTTATTAATTTAATAATGTCAATCTCTAATTACTATTGACTGTGTGTGATTTCTTATGTAATATGATGATGTTTAGTAACCACTGGTATAAACTAGTCATTTTTTATAAGAACATAAATTTGGAAATATCTCTAAAACTGTTTTGAATCTTTAACACCTTCGAATACGTGATTTCCGTTTTTTTTTTTTTTTTTTTAAAAAAAAAGAAATATATCTTTACATTTTCTATTTAAAAAATTAACAAAAAAAAAAAGTTTAATTTGTTTTGACTTGGAAAATGCCTATTTTTAAAAAATTTTAATTAACAAATTATTTTAAATTTCTTTAATAACTCTTAACCAGATTTTGATTTACATATTTTATTCCCTACATAATTAATGTGAAGGGACATTACTATGTTGCTTATTCATTATATATATATATATATATATATATATATATATATATATATATATATATATATATATATATATATATATATATATATATATACACACACACATATATATATATATATATATATATATATATATATATATATATATATATATATACATATATATATATACATATATGAAGACCTCAGTGGAAAAACCAGCGTTGTCACATTTTAAAAGTTTTGAGAAAATATTTATTGATCATTAATAAAAGTCTTTATATAAAGCAACAAAAAAAAAGGAATTTCTAATAAAAATTATATAAATTTTTTTTATAATTAAATTTTAAATAAATTAAACAAAATATTGTTTTTTTTTCTCATCTTTAATTTTCTTTGCCTAATATAAAAACTTTTATTAATGATCAATAAATCCTTTCTCAAAACTTTTTAAATGTGACAACGCCGGTTATTCCACTGAGGTCTTCATATATATACACCATATGTTTGGTATTTTTGTAGCAGACCTGATACTTGATGAACTTTGGTTCATTTTGTGAAGAAGTATTTTCAGATAAAAAGAGAGGACCAGATATAACATATACATCAGAAAACCGCTTTGATAGCGATCTACAATATGCTTCAAGACGATACCAAAAACCAACATTATTTTCAAAATTTTGAGGTACTATATTAGATAATAAAAAAGACTCCTTCATTGATGACGAATCTCTTTTTGAATCCGCTAAAATGTTAAAAAAAAAAATTAAATTTAATACAATGTAATGTACAAAAACCTAAGATATAAATTTAATATCATTGTCTTCTTTAAAAAAAATCTCAAGAAACAGGATTTTTATAATATTATTATATACTAATAGAAAACAAATCACATCAGTTAATGATAAACAGTTATAACTGTGAGTCTTGGTTATTACAAATTTAGTAATAAGTAAAACAGCAGCAGTTGAACCACAAAGTATTGACTAAAATTGTGTTTTTCTTGAAATTTAGTTTAACTGTTTTCATAATTAAATGTTTAATAACACTAAATATGAAGAACTAATAAAACTATTTAAAAAAATAAATAAATAAACCTGATATAAGTTCTTTAAATTAACTAATATTATTTCAATTAAAAAAAAAACAAAAAAAAAACATTTTCAAATTTAATTTTTAATATATGAAATATAAATAATATAAAAAATAAAACTATATGTACAAAATTTTGTTTTTAAGCAATAAACTTTAAACAAATATATTTAAGTTAGGATTCTTTGAATTTAGATTTTTGATCACTATTTGAGTATAGAAAATAACATTTTAAAATCCAGAGTAAAATATAAAATGGCAGCTAGGAAAAGCATTTAATTTTTTTTATTTTAGTTTTAAAATAATTGCATCCAGGGCTCAAAAATTCTTAAGACTTTTCAAACTATTTTAAAAACTTAATAACTCCTTAAATAAAAGTAGACAGCGAAACTTTAAAACCCAGACTCACGAGACTCTATAGGACAAGTTTCAGAATAATGTGTGCTAAGAATGATAAAAATATTTATTCAATAAAAAAAATATGACCAAATACTGTTGAAGTTTAAAGTGAAGCAATTATAAAAGGATTGTACAACACAAGTAAAAAGGAAATATGATATAGAGAAAAATTTGGTTAAGATAGCACTTTGTTCGTATAGTTTTCACTATGTGAACTTTTTAAAACTTTAAATCAAATTTTAAAATTGAAATAGTCTTTAACTCTGATGTACTGTGCATAGCTATTATGAACGTAACCCTGACCTACCATACACATTAATCATATATGTATAAAACCAACATAAAAAAAAAATAACTTAATTTTTTTTTATAAATCGTTTAATTATAATAAATCTTTTAAAAGATTAAAATATATAAATTAAAAAAAGAAATTTGAATACAAACCCGCAGGAATCATGTGACCTCTAGTGTAACCGCTGTTTAAAAAATCTTCATTGGTTGCACGAAACTTTTCTGGTACATTCACATCAGTTTTAAAAGTAAAACTACTTCGATCTGCTAATCCAGCTAACTTTTCCTTTGTTATATGTTGGGCAACCCACAAAGGAATTTTTCTTGAACAGTCATACTGTACAACATGATTACTATAAACAAGTGTACTTGGTGATTGAGGTAAACCATATCGTAAAAGTGGTTTTGTTGAGGGACTAAATATCTCTTCATTATCTGAAAAATCTGGGAGATTACCTTCAAGTGAATTGGATTTAAATCTAAAACAATATATATATATATATATATATATATATATATATATATATATATATATATATATATATATATATATATATATATATATATATATATATATATATATATATATATATATAAATTAGTAGAAAATCACTTAACAAATTTTTTTTTCATTTTTGTTAAGTGATTTTCTACTAATTTATAATTGCTCTGTTCTTTTAAGAACATTGAGCACTTTATTTTGTAGAATACATTTTTTAAAATTGTTTAAATATATATATATATATATATATATATATATATATATATATATATATATATATATATATATATATATATATATATATATATATATATATATATATATATATATATATATATATATATATATATATATATATATATATAGATCATTGTAGTCATATTTTAAAAATCCAGAAAATTGTTCGAATAAAATATCCATAAAAATCTGGAATTTGTTTTCCCTTATTATTTTTTTAAATTTCCCTTGTAGCTGAGTTGTTTTGGATTTTTTTTGTCGCTTTTCATAATTTTTCTATAAGTGAAGAGTGAAAAAGCTTAAAACCAAATATATTACAAAAATATATACCTCAACTTGCATCTATCGAAAATTATTTGAATATCTGGAAAAATTAAAACTTGAAATATATATATATATATATATATATATATATATATATATATATATATATATATATATATATATATATATATATATATATATATATATATACATATACATATATATATATAAAATACAGCCTTGTCTATTTTCCTGAAAAAATTTACTTGATACTAATCCACATTATCTATTTTTAAAGGTTTTATGGCCCCTTAAAAAAAGTTACTTATATTTACTGGAGCATTTAAAAAGCATTTAGTTGATAGCTTTCGATTGTCTTCTGAAACAAATAAGTGTAGGAACAGACATACTTTTTGTTTTTTTTTAATAATGTAGAATTGTATAATGAAACTGTTGAAAAGGTCTATGAGTATTTTGGCTGTAACATAACTGCAAATTATATTCAAAGCTTTGTGAATATAGCCAAAAAGTTAGCTGCCAACAACCAAAAATAATCGAAGCATTTCTTTGCTTTTTTTAACTAACTCTTCCCTTAAATCAGTGTTGACAAACAGACAATCATTACAGCCTACTCTTTGTAGTAATGTTTTTACTCTCTCGTGTTCTTCAGTTTCAACATTGTCAGAGTATATCAATATATTATCTCCTATTAGAAGTGAACCTTTAGCTTCCACAAGCAAAATATAAAACTTGAAAAATAGGCCAACTTCAAGAGAAAGTTTTGCTCAAAAGAGAAAAATATTCTGTGTTTTCTAACCACTGTAACAGTAAAATGTGGTAATTTACAGTTAGTTTTGCAAGCAGCATTTTGTAATGCAACTGCTGTAAAACAATTGCGTGTTCTAGGATTTTTTGAAAAATTTCTCAATGGACCTTGGACGATAAAGTTTTATGTCTCAGATAAGAATGCAAGTTTTTATTATGTCACTAGTATGCATTTAGTAAATGATATTTTGACAACAATTTATGGTTGTAAATCAAATCCAGCTGTACTGTTTTTTATAGAGAAGTTTTAATGGATATGTTAAGTAATTTTAGTAAAAGTAAATTAAGATCCTCTCATCAAAAAATAATAGGACAATAGACTAGATCTAGAAAGAACAAACCTAATATACAGAAAAATGTAGTTAAGTGATCTATTAATGCAGTTCGTAAAAAAAGAATAACAAATCAACTAGGCCATGCTGCTTTATGAGCAGAGATTTCAAAAAGACAGACAAGCAAAAGACAAAAAATGGATGAAAAAGAAAAAAGAAAGCTGGAGCGAGAATTACGTGTGGTATCTTTTAATGATATGAAGAATTTATATAAGCACTTGTCTATCAAGCAACTTGCTGACTTAGATGATAAAATGTCTGAATAAATTGTTGGGAGAGAACTCTGCTATGAATGGTTTGATGCAGATAATAGCAAGTCTGTCATGTATGATGGGCGAGTAGAAAAAGTAAATAAAAGAAAAGACGACAGAATTTTTACTATTTCTTACTGGAAAATCGAAGAAACCGATTCAGAAGTTGTTGACTATTGCATGAAAAAGTTTAAACTAGCAGCTGATGTTATATCAGGAGAGTTGATATTTTCATAAATTGACTATGTAGTTTTAAATGTGCCCATATGATGAACTGTAATAATAATAGTTTTATCATATAAGTATTTATTATATATAAATAAAGAAAAATAATTTGTAATTGTATATTATTTGCATATATATAAAAACAATGAATCGCAAATGGTGTGACTTGCAAAATAGGTAGAGCAAGTGGTGTGACTTGCAAAATATGTACAGCAAGTGATGTGACTTGCAAATCAGCTGCTGCAAGTGGTGTGACTTGCAAAAAGGTACCTGCAAGTGGTGTGACTTGCAATTTTGGTGCCGCAGGTGGTGTGACTTGCAAAAAGACACCAAGTCGTTCCAGGTTAGCTTGCACGTGTCATCTTTTTTATTCCTTAGTTAGTTTTCACATGTATTACACTGTTTAAAAAGTTGTTTGAGTAAATATCAAATAGATTTTTTTTGAAAATTGAAATAAAATTTAGTGTATAGTCTTTCAGATGTTTTTATTTGTTAAGGTATTTATACAAAATATTGAAGACCTTTTTTTTTTTTAAAGATTTTTTATTAACAAAAAAATAGAAAAGAATGTGAAAATTTACAGAACCAAAAGTAGAAAGTGACATGTCATGCTGATTTGGCATGGAATGACTAAACTTCAAGTGGTGTAACTTACAATTTTTTAATAGACGGCTCTGGCTTACGTTCTCGTCGTGTCTATCGTTAACAATGATTATTATTAATTTCATTATTGGAATTTAAAATTTTAATCATTTACTAAAAGCCAAGACAAATTAATCATAAATTTTTTTCAAAACAATATTTAGTTTGTCTTTTTCTTTTAGATTAAAGTGGGAGGTGGTTACAATACTCGATTTACTAAAAATATGAATTGAGGCATCTTGTAATATGGTAAAGAAATTTTATACTAATTTCTATAATTTTGAATAATATGAATTAAACTTTTTTTTTCAGAATTGGAGAGGCAGGGGAGGGGGTTATACGCCCTTACCCTAAATCAATTTATTATGTTGTCAAGAAATGAAATATAGTTTTTGTATTTTATATTAGATTTACTCATTTTAATAAAGTTAAAAATATTAATATTAATTAGTTTTTTTTTCATAACAGGCTGTGTTAAACAATCACACCACCATCCACCCTTAACACTAAAATTTTTTTTTTTTTTTTTGTTATTCACCTCCTCAAGGTCGAGAAGGCCACTACAGACGAGGAGGCTACTTAATAGTGGTAATAACCCTCTCTCAACTCTATAACTCTGAAACACGAACCTTGACAAACAAGGCCGCTGCGCGGAGATACAAGTTGAGCGCGGTACTACCAGGGACGTGGTGGGGATCGAACTCGGAACCTCTCGCTTATGAAGCTAGTGTTTTACCACTACACCACTACCGCTTTAATACAGTTCTTGTATTTGGCAATGATCTGGTAGCAAATTATAAATTTCTTGTATACAAAAATTGCTAAGTTCATTAAATTAAGCTTGTTTTTTTTTAAAAAAATGAATTTTTTGACAGTGTAGATGGTGGTTCGGTGCCCCCTCTAGCGCTCTTAATACGCCCTGTTAGTTAAAACTATTATAAATTTGTAGTTCACTCTTACACCTTTCTTTTGATACCAAGTTATAGACGCTTTGATAAGAATTGACAAAATTATAATAATTTACGCAAAGAAAAACTTAATTTTAACACAGTTTCTTCATGAAATCCATATATTAAAAAATTGGTACTTAAACTGTCATAACTTTTGAACGAATAGTTCGATTTTGATAATTTTTTCACCATTAAAATACTATACTAAAGCTCTTTCCAATGATATATAACAATCTAGTAAGTAATTAATTTAAATTTTTATGTAACATACCTATATATATATATATATATATATATATATATATATATATATATATATATATATATATATATATATATATATATATATATCCTTAAAATGTAGTCGAAATAATTAATTTAAATTTTTATGTAACATACCTATATATATATATATATATATATATATATATATATATATATATATATATATATATACATATATCCTTAAAATGTAGTCGAAATAATTAATTTAAATTTTTATGTAACATACCTATATATATATATATATATATATATATATATATATATATATATATATATATATATATATATATATATATATATATATATATATATATATATCCTTAAAATGTAGTCGAAAGAGACTTTTATGGTAAAAAAAAGTCTCTTTCGACTAAAATTTTTTTACTTTGTCTCTTAAGCTGCATTTTATTGTCATCGAAATGTCAAAGCAATTAAATTAATGTGGAAATACATAAAATTTTATTGCTTTTTAAAAAAACTGCAATAATAATGACTAGAAAGTTTTTTTTAATTAGTAGTGTTGTTTTTGTTTTATTAAAAAACATTTTTAAAACATGCGTAAGTGTTGCTACATTGACTATCTTATAGCCTGCTGCTACAAGGGAGTGTTGCTACATCGACTGACAAATAGCCTGACTCGCAAGGGAGTGCTGCTACATTGACTGAGGGTTTGGTTTGGCAGGCAGTCTATCATTATCTTTGTGACTACCATACAAGACTATATATGTATATATATATTTATATATATATACATTTGTATATATATATATATATACATATATATATATATATATATATATATATATATATACATACATATATATATATATATATATATATATATATATATATATATATATATATATATATATATATATATATATATACATACATATATATATATATATATATATATATATATATATATATATATACATATATATATATATATATATATATATATATATATATATATATATATATACATACATATATATATATATATATATATATATATATATATATATATATGTATGTATGTATATATATATATATATATATATATATATATATATATATATATATATATATATATATATATATATATATATACATATATATTAAAAGTGGTGTTTTATATTTAAATTCTTCTTTAATGTTTAAATCTTAATTGTAATTTAATATTTAATTTGATAAAAAACATAATAAATTCATTACCAATCTTTATTTTTTTTTCAAATTTATAATATTGAATTAAAGCTCTTTCTAATGATATATAGCAATCTAGAAATTAATTAATTTAAAATTTGCATGTAGCATACCTACTCAAGTAATATTGTCGCTCTAAAATACTTTCTTCAAATCTTACAAAATAAATAATTAGATTTTAAAATTAATTTAAGACTGAAAGAAATACTCACTTTTTAGGCAAATCAATGTAAGAAACTATTTCTTTTACTCCACTACCTATTACAAGACCCGCTAAAAATGATAACGTTTGGCTAATCCTGTTTGGGTGGCGAAACGCTTTGCGGTTTAGTAACCATTTAAAATTTGCGGCCATCACTATTGTATGCTTAAGCAAGTAAGATTTATTTATTTTTTTTACTAATTAATCAATTAATTATTTGAACTATATTTTTCCTAATTATTTTGAATGCATATATATATATTATTAGTATAAAGTTAACGTAATATTTTTAATGCGAAAATAGCCTAATTTATAAAATAATAATGGATTTAAATATTAGTTTAAAGACACGAGGTGACCTATAATGGCACCCGAATACATATCGAGCTAAGAAAAAATCTCTTGCATTCTTCTGAAAAGTCTAACATGTTTATTTTCTATCATCTACATTATTATTATTGAAAATACACAAACTACTTGATAAAGAGTTAAAGCTGTTAGATTGTTTTTGATATTTAAAATAAATACCTTCTATAATTTGATTATTTTTCCCGAGGCATAATTTTAAAACTTGGGAAAACTATGAAATATAGTTTTTCTCCTGTTATTTCAAAATAAATGTGTTGTTTATTTGTTTTATTGCCAACATATGTTTTATATATTCTACGGTTTGTGTATTCATTATATAATTTTATATTCTATATTTTATATTTAAAAAATTAAACAGGAAGACTTGTAAAGATGAGTTTTAGAGGACGAGGTGGTGGAAGAGGAGGAGGTGGAAGGGGAGGCGGACGTGGTGGTTTTGGGCGTGGTGGTGGTAATTTTCGTCAATTCGATACTGGTCCTCCTGAAAAAGTAACTGGTAAATATTTTCTCTATCTAAAATATATTCCTTTGCTTTCTTATTATTTATTTCTTTTTTGTTTCTTTCCATTGAAGACCTTTTTTAAATAAAGCTTAAAACATTTTGTTAAGCATAAAACTAAATTGCTTTGAACAATAAAACTAAATTGATTTGAATGAATGATTGAAATGAAAATTGAAAATGAACAATAAAACTAAATTGCTTTGAACAGTTATTAATTGTAAACATCTATAAGTGTATAATCAAATGGATGTAATATAAACACTATAAAAGCTATAAATTTGATGTCATAAAATTCTCTTTATTTTTTTATTTTTTAAAGATATTAACTTTTTTAAATTTGCAATAATATTATTTATTGCAAAACAAGTTAAATACTATTTTACTTCTTTTTTATTATCACTACAAGAGAATGTGTACCGTGAACTGGGGTGACTATGAACAACAGGGTGAAAATGAACATCAATACCAAGTTTACTAATTGGTGAAAGATAGTGCATGGTATAACTAAATAGTGTGTTATTTTGATTCAGATGACTTAAATATAATATAAAGAAGTTAATTTTTAGCTGCCCTCAAAAAATGTATTTTTCACCTACTTTAAACATCTCGTGTAAGTCTCAAATAGTGGTTCTGTGGTTCGGACAATTAAACTAAATAGCATATCTTAAAAACTGCTAATCAGAACTTTAATTATAAATAAAAACTATAATTAACGGACTTTGAGCAACTTAAAATGCGCACAAAATAAAAAATTAAAATATCATGTATCAGGCCTTGCGATAAAGCGTTGGGCAATGTGAGTTTTACGTCGTCCAAGAGTGATTTTGTGTAGTGTAGCTAAGGCTATTTGCCTCAAGCAAAATAGTTTTTGTTTGAGTATATTTAAATATATTTTTGAGTGGAATTTTAATGAAGTAGTTTACGATTATTTTAACATTTAATAAAGTATTTTAAAAACCGCAAGCAGTTGATATAAAAGTTTGAATTACAAAAAAATTAAATATGCTCATTATTTACAAGTAGAAAAAATTCAGATTAAAAAAAAAGTTTGAATCTTTTTAAGCTAACATTTTAATAAAATTATTCAGCAATAGCAAAGTTGTCGATAAAATTGAACAAAAATACTTTTTTTTAGTTTTAGATTTTTAACTTAAATAATTATTTTACGGGGGTTTGTTAGGTTTTAAAATTATTCCATAGATTTAAAAATATTTATTAACTGTTAGACGTATTTAAAGTACTTAAGAGGAAACATTTTAAAATTTGGTAAGCGCAAATATAAAAAAAAATAAAAGGAATAATATTTAAGCGTATTCTACTTGATTCAATAAAAAAGTACAGCTATTAAAATTTTTGTAAAAAGTAACTCGAAAAAAATTACTTAAATAATAACAATCGCTTTTTTGTTAAAAGTTACCGAAACTCAACTAAGCGTGCTCAAGAACAGCTGCTGAAAAATAGAACGTCAATAGTTTTTCGAATAATTTTTAAGAATAATTTTTTCACTGAAAAATGTCTTTTATACGTATAAGATTTTTATTCTAACATTTTATTTTATTTTACCAAAAATATAATTCCTTGTAAACATTAAAAATCTATTCAAAACGTTCGTTAAAGTTTTTTAGCAATACGAGTGATTGTGCTTATCAACCACTTTATGAAAATAAATAAATTAAAAAATATTTATAAAATCGCTAGTAAAAATATTAGCTATTGCACAGTTTTTAATCGTACAATATTAAAATTTCCAGTTTATTACTCGCTGACTTTTTAAAAAGAAAATTTTTTTTTTTATTAAAAATAATTATTTGAAAAACTTTAAATTATATATTTGAGAAAAAAAAAATCAAATGTTAGCATATTTTATAATCTTTTTAAAATGTTTAGTTATAATGTTTTTTATTCGTTTAGTATAGACAAAACGTGTCAAACGTCGAGAAAATAAACAAATGTTTTTACAATTTAAAAAACAAAACATTCCAAAACATTTTTAAATAATAACATTTCTACATTATTGATTTAAAGTAGTTTTGCTGTAATTAAGTAAATTGGTGCAGTTAATGTCGATAAATATGAAAAGCATATAAAAAGAATCTAATGATGTCAAAAATCACGTCGTGCTTATGCGTCGCGCAGGTTTTATTCATCACAAGGCCTTATGTATTGTTCAAAATCATCCCGAATCGGCTGTTCATTCTCACCCCATTTTGGAAATACGGATATGGTCATATAAAACCAGAAAGTTAAGTTATTTACTGCGTAGTGCTTATCAGGCCTAGGAGTATTTCAGGAAGCTGAAAAGTATAATGTTCTGTTACAAAAAAAAGGGTAGCGATTAGGCCAACAGTTTTCTTCTATGATACAAAAATGTTTCAAAAGTGTTCATAGTCACCCCGGTTCACGGTATTTAATTTTTTTTAATATTTGATAATTAAGTTTAGTATTACTTTTTTAAAAATGTTTGATATTAACAAATTTCTTTCTTTTCTCGTTATTTGCATAAATGAATTAAAATATGTTAAAATTTATAAAAGATTATTTCTTAAATTTTTAACCAATTTAACCATGGTTTTTAACAATGGTTAAATTGGTTAAAAATTTAAGAAATGTCTAAATATAATATTTAGATAGTAAATGTGCTGAAAAAATTGGTTTTTAATTAGATCGAAAATAAATAACTTTGACGTGTTTATCTTACCTAACGTTTTTATATTAGCAAAACACTTTTAAATAAAGTAGGTAATGATTTTAATAAAGTATCATTGAAAGTTGTAAATTTTTTATTTATATTATTTAATTATATAAGATTTTTGTATAAGTAAAAATAATAAGAGTAAAATTTAAAAAAAAAGAAATTAAATTTTATAAGCGACGGCTTTAAACAGCGAAGGTCCCTTTAATAAACCTTATATAAGAATCATTAAAGATTTTGTTGAGAAAAAAAAGAAAGAAAAAAAAAAGCTTTTTTAAAAGCTGTTTGAAATTACTTTAGATAACTTTGATCTTTATTTATCTTTAGTTTTTATATTATTAAAACGCATTTAAATAAAGTAACAAATCACTACTAATGATATTTTATAAATACATTAATGAATAATATATTTTTATATTTGTTTAAGTATTTTTTATTATCAATGCTTTTAAAATAGAAAAAATTTATATCAACTTTTTAAATAAATGATTTAATTGTTTTTTCTTTTGTGCGAAGAATTTTTGAGAATCTTTTTTTAAACTTGCGCGTTTCACTAAACAATCATTAGATGTAAGTTGTTACTTTATTTAAAAAAGGATTCACATAATATTATAGTATAAAACAGGAATTATCTTTTTCCGGATATTTCCGGAGTTCCGGATATTTTTTTCAATTTTTAGTTTTTCCGGATATCCAAAATATTTTCAATACATGCAAGATGAGGTATATATTTTTGTAATATATTTATTTTTTAAGCTTTTTCACTTATCACTTATAAAAAATTATGAAAATTTACAAAAAAAAATTAGAAACAACTTAACTAAAAGCGAAATTAAAAAGAAAATAAGGGAAAACAAGTTCCGGATTTTTTCCGGATATTTTGTCCAAACCATTTTCCGGATTTTTAAAATATGACTAGGATAATCTATGATAAAAACATTATTAAAGATAAACAATTCAAAGTTTCAAACACAATTTAGATAATCTTATCATTAAATTTTATTATTTATTTTAGTTAAGTTTTAATTTTATCCTAAAGTTCGTTTTAAGAGAACTTTTCTCTGCTCTTGTGCTCATTTATTCCCGCCGAGGCCTATATATATATATATATATATATATATATATATATATATATATATATATATATATATATATATATATATATATATATATATATATATATATATAAATTAGATCATTTTATAAATTAGAATATATATTATTATTAACTTGAGTTAAAAATATAAGATCATTTTTAAAATGTTTCCTTAATATATTAAAAAAATTTTGAAAGATTTTTAAATCTTTCAAAATTTAACCATCTTGGATTATATTGTACTTAGTGTTGTATATAAAAAAATTGATTACTTTTTTTCTAAGAAAATATTCATCTTGTGTATTTTAAAGTTTGCCTCGCCTAAATTACTATTTTTATTATGCGAGTTTATTTAACTCAAATACTTAATGATAATTTGAACAAAAAACACAAACATGCTACAGCGAACGATTTCTATAAACATTGCAGACTAAGTATGGAGAGGAACACTAAATCTGATTGTGTAAAACTGAGTTAAAAAACTCTGCGGTGAGCAAAAACATTTATTATTGAATATTTTTTAACAGAAAAAACTAGATTTGAGAGCCGAAAATTAGACTCTCAACCAGAAGTATAATGGCAAAATGACAAATGCTTTTGTTAATATCTCATTCAATAAGCTATTTTGGAAAGTTTAATTAGCTTTTAACTTATTTTCTAATGTTTATCAATTATATGAACACAACTTGTCTTGGCACTTGGGGATCCTTTTGAAAAAAATTTTTTTTTTGTTAATTTTTTTGTTAACTTTTTTAAGGGGTGCATCGGCATTGGTCTTGTTAACCATCGACCAATGCCGATTGTATTTAAAAAGTTTTTTTTTATTTTGTGTTTCTACATTGTATAAAGAAATATCATAATTATATTTTTTATACAATATAGAAACGCAAAATTAAAAAAAAGATTTTAAAACAATCAGCATCAACCAATGGTTACCAAGACCAATGCCTCGGTGCACCCCTAATTTCTTTTTGCCTTTCTTAAAAGTAAGTTTTTAATTAGGGGTCATAAAGTGCATCACACTAAATTTGTCTTTTGAATAGAAGTATAATCTTTGCTCTCTTGTGCGGAGATTTTATTCAACATAAAATACTTTTGAATTTAAATTACTTTAAATCTGTGCCTGAAAGTCAATATTATTTTAAAGTTATATTTTGTTTGATTTACTGAATAGATAAAGTATATAAAAGTAAATTTAACTTTGAACTAAATCAAAACAACCAGTTAATTACTACAGTAACTTACAGTTACTCTACTTTTAAATTTTCTTGATATACTCAAAGATTTTTAAAAAATAGCCATATAAATGTTTCTATTTATATATTATTTTGTTTACACATAATATAAGCTTTTAACTAAAAATTATTTTAAAGGGATCCCCAAGTGCCCAGACAAGTTGTGTTCAAGGGATCCCTAAATGCTATAAAGATATGATCTCATATGAAAGAGCATAAAAAAAAAAATGTTTGATGTATATTATTTTTTCTAAAACGTAATAATGAACACACACTAACAAATTTAATTTTCAAAAAAACGCTTTTCTTCGATTAAAAAAAATGCGTCTTGTCCAAAGTTTATTGACTCTACTGCCTCAAAAAACTAACGTTAGTACGTCAAATTAAACAAAGTAGACAAAATGTCATTATTGCAAACTTATTAGTTGGTAATTAAATTTAAAAGTAAAGTCGTTTTTTTTCAACTAACACATAATTACTTACAAGAATAAGTTTTGTAGCATTTTGTGAAAATATATTTGTATATTAAAATTTTTTTTATAATATTAATTTATACTAGCTGGGGTGACCCGTAAAATACGGGTCTTTACCGAACCGACCATTTTTATACTTATCTATAGCTATCCGGACGTAAACTAAGGGTCTTAGTAAATCTATTCCACACCGACCTTTTCTATACTTATTCCTTACCTCAATATTTTTTTAAAACCATTTAAAAATGTACATATAAAAAACTATACTTACTTTTTGATATGACAAAAACATTTCTGTTAAAATGTTCTTTTAAAAACTTCAAACGATTTTAATATTATGCCGATTATAAAAATTTTAATAAGAAAAAACGTAAAAAAGACTACGAACTTAGAAAAATGCTAAAACATTCAACACGTGACGCCGTTAAAGTACGCCTTAGTTAACGTTCATAACATATACACATCTAATTAGATTTTATTTAAATTCAGTTGTTGCAAACTTGGTTTTGAATTTTTAATTACACTTCTTATGCGTCATAAATAATCTTAAATTCTAAATAGAAAATACGTTTATGGGCTAATTGGTAGACGCGCAACACTTAGACAGATATAGTCATCTTACCCCGGGAGTTCATACTCCAGTGACCTTTTTTTTCATCCCAACTTACAACAAAAGTAATTAAAAATAAATGTTATTATTGAAACAGTTTGAAACATTTCTTCCTATTTATCTTCGAACTTAACTTTATTCACTGCAAACATACTTTTGGTGTTTGTAAGCGTTATTTTACGTTTAGTATTTGTAGGAATTATTTGCACGCACGTATTTTAAACAATTATTTTTACTGTTTCATCTAAAAATCTTATTTAATTTAGTTTAATAATTTCTTAAATATAATATAGTTAAAATATTTTATTAACCCTATTTAAATAAGTATCAAAACTCTTTTCTTTAATTTAAAAAGAATTTAAAATTAACGTAGGCTTTAATGATATTTTACCCTTTCATCAACATTTATTTAAAAAGTAAATTTGGATATAGAAAAACGGGTTAAAGACTTTTTATTTTAAATAAGTTAGCTTAATCTATTTAATGCTTTTCGTAAAAGCGTTTCTTTAAAGACTTTTAACAAATCATTCAAGCTTTTTTTACTGCCTAAGTTATTAAACCTGTTGTGTGTGCCAAAAATCGATACTTAATGCAAATGGAAACTTCGAGTGCTAATGGTGATTAAAGCATAAATGGTTCCTATTCATATATAATAAAAGGAAATATGAAAGACAAAGCAAAAATGATTTTTATATCCATTTAAAACAATAAATCCCAAAATAAAAAAATATAGATATTTACTTAAAAACATATTTTTCTTGATATAAAATAAAAATATAACCTTTAGTACAAATTACAAAAAAAAAATTTATTCAACAGAGCTACTTATAATACAATTTAAATTGAATCATTGTTTCATAAATATTAAGCTTTAGGTAAGCCATAATCAAGTCAGCTATAAGAAACGGAACTAAAAATGGAACAAAGTTATTTAAACGAATAATCATACACATTAATTACAAATTAACATGTCATGCAATCAATACTTTTGAAAACTCAAATATGCGAATAAGAAACTTACTTTTTTATTTTTACATAACCCTGACAGACCAACATGAATGTGAGCTAAATATATTTGCATAAAACATCACAACAATTAATTAAATAGCAGAACCACCTTCAAAGGACAAAAAAAATAGTTTTTTAAGGAAAATTAGAGTTATTGGGATGGGAGGTATTAATGAATAAAAAAGCTCAACTTGAATTTCAAAATTAGTTCATAGTTTTGTTGAGAGTTATTGAGTTATTCTGAGTTTATTATACATATTTTAAACTACTAACACCACACACTTATATTCTTAGTTCTGGAAGGTGCTACATAGAATTTGATTGTGTGAAAACCAAATCCCTTTGAGATTAACATTAACTTTATCAAATGTATAACCGTGACTTTTATTTCTAGTTAATGAGCATTGTTGATAAAGGTGTCTTTATTTAAATGATTTACTTTGATAACATTTAACATTCATGGGAAAAATTAAAAAACAACACAAAAATATATTACAAAAAAAAAATGAAGTGGCTCAAAAGTTGTCAATTTCTTTACATTTTAAAATGTAAAAAAATTATTGACAACTTTTGAGCCACGTTGTCTTCTCCTCCCAGCATCCGCTCTATTCCCCGTGTTGTATGGTGTGCCATCCCTCCATCTAAAGGAGGGATGGTTGTCCCCATACAAACACTAGCGATGGAAGGCCCTCATAGATAGAGGGCCTGGATGCTGGGAGCGATACTTTCGGAAATCTTCCCATGACTTCGAGCCTGAAAAAAAAATTATATATAAATACAACTATCTACCTAGGTAATACTTACAAAAAATCTACTGTAAAAAAAACAATAAAAGCAAATAATGTAATAAATTAAGTACAAGTGAGCACAACAACTTATTTATTTTACTCACTAATACTTGACTTATTACATTAACTAATTAAACTGGAAAGCACATTTGTAGCTATATTAAAAAACAAAAGGTACAATAAAAGCAATCAATCAATGTAATAAGTCAAGTAAAGGTGAATATAACAACTTACTTGTAACAGAAGAAGCAGCAGCTAGAGATAAATAAAAGAAAGTTAAAAATGCAATAAAACCAATTAATCCATAAATTAAGTCAAGTATAAGTGAATAGAACAACTTACTTGTAACAGAAGAAGCAGCAGCTAGAGATAAATAAAAGAAAATTAAAAATGCAATAAAAACAATCAATCAATGTAATAAGCTGCATTAGGATCATAGATATACAGCTGACAATATTTGGGCAGACAACCTTCTGCAGGCCTTAAATTTCCAACACGATGCAAAATTTGCCCACAGACCCTAAAACAGAATCGGCCATTATTTGAGGGAGGAGCTATTTCGGCAGTGAAGGAAGCAAAAAATAAAGAGGAATTATAACTCCTTATGTGTTTAAAAAAATTTTGATTTACAGCATGATCAACATGGTTTCCTGTCATTAAACCAGTCAACAATGGCGGATAAAGAGAAAGAGGAGCTAATACAACTTTTCTTGAATGGCAGCACAAAAAATGAGTTTCATTTAAAAACTTCTTTGCACTGCAATACTGATTACATATAACACACCACAAACATTGAAACATTTCATATATTTACACACTTACAAAATATAAACCCATATAACCTTAACACACATATACACAATAAAACACAATATAAATAACACACATATATAGATAAATATATAAATTAAGAAAAATATATAAATTTGAAACTTTACAAATACAACCTTATTTTTGTTTTTTGAAATACCTCGTAATAAATGTTTAACAACTTTCAAAAACAAACTATCAAACAATCTGGTTTTTTATACGGATTTTTATAACTTCTTTTAAATAAGGTATTAAACGATCTTGTTCTTTAACATGTAACATTGAGTTGACCGTGTGAGATGCAAGTGTTTTAAACACTAACTTTATCAAGAGTTTGACCTCTTGACCTTTGAAATGAGCAACGTCTTCTTGAGTCGTCTTTTAATTTAAAAATTACAGATTAATTTTATAAATTAATAAATTTAAATACAATTGACAAAAGACTAAAATGCACGATTTAAATAAATCACCTGACTTTAAAAGTTACTTTACTAATTCAATAATAACATAATGTTCATCCTTTACTACAGAAGTTATCAAATAAAAATTGTTGATCTTATCACTAATTAAGCTGATGAAACAAAGTTTTTGATCTCATTACTGAATAAGCAGATACTGACAGATTATTAAGATTTGAAAGAGCCTCATTACGCTAGTTCAGAAGTAAAGCAATTTATGATAAAACTCAAAGGCCAAGTATGGTAAAAAAGTCAGTGTAAAGGTGCACGAATGGTGAGCAGCAGCAGCGGCAGCGTTAAGTTAAGTATTAATTATAAGCGATATTTGTGTTATAAGGGCAATTCCACGGCTAAAAATGAATAGAAGTCAAATTTTAAACTCTTTTTAGTCAGTTAAAAACAAATGAATATTGACTTAGACATATGAAAGTTTATTTAAAATATTTCCTTAGTAAAAAAATAAATTTATTTCAGTAATTTTTATGGTTTCAAAAGTGACGGTTACTCTCATTTTTGCTTGATAAAAAAAATAATGGTTGCAAAATGTTTTAGTTTAATTAACATTTATGTTAAATTGCTATATTTTTTTGGTTCAAATTGATAAGGTTGAATAGACATTTTATTAGAAATTAATCTAAGACAAGGCTCGAATTAATGCAAAAAAATCTAATCGCGAAAAAATTTTTTTTTTTTTTGCTCTCTCCCCCTCCCCCCCTCTCTCTTATAGCTCGCGCCGATGTGCGGTAATGGGGGGAAAAAGTTATCGTCAATAAATCAAAAAACATCGTCAAAAACTTAGATACCACGTTTTTTATAATTTATTGTTTCTTGAATAAAGGACTAATAAAAGTTTAAATATAATTAAGTTTTTCATTTAAATGGTTGATGTTTTTATTCAATTTTTCTATTTCAAGTTTTCCAATAAAAGATAAAACAAAAAAATTTGGTTTAATAAATCGAATTATACTTCATGTTTAAAATAAGGCTTAAAAACGTTAAAGTAAAAAAATTGCTGGTTTTTATTAGCATATTTATACTGTTTGAAAAAAAAAACTTATAAAAAAGAATTAACTAATAATATATTAATTAATAATTATATATTAATTCTTTTTTATTAGTTTTTTTTTTTCAAACAGTATAAAAATGCAGATAAAAGTCAGTAATTTTTTTTGCTTTAACGTTTTTAAGCCTTATTTTAAACATGAAGTTTTGATAAACAAAGATAAAAACCAACTTTTCAACTTTTCGCTTTGACGACCTTGTAAAAATTTTCCACGCAGAGATTTAAAGTAATTTAAATTCAAAAATGAATTACGTTGAAAGAAAATCTCCGCGCGAAAGAGCAAATCATCTATTCATCTATCTATTCAGAATAATAAATTTTGTGTGACTTTCTTTATGATAAAAACATTACTTTCAAGAATT